AACTGCCCCTCCCCACCGCGCCACCCACGCAAGGGATTACCCTTCCGTCAAGAGGCCGGGCTGGGGCTGCAGAGAGGGGCCTGAGGCCTGGTCTCCCTCCCCGCCTGCTCCTGGCTCGCGCTGTGCTCCCCCAGTTGGCAGAGCTGCTATCGGGGGCAGTGACACTAGGGGATGGGAGGGCGCCTCCCGCACCCCCGCCCAGCAGAGCCCAGACGCCGCTTCGGGCACCTCCTGTCTGCGCGCCAGTCGGGAGCCGCCGGGAGGACGGGGCGCGGTCTTGCAGCGCTCGGGCCCCGCTCTCCCCGGCGGCGGTGGCAGCTGCGCCCTTGTGGGGGGCGGCAGGAGCATGGCACCGGGGGCCAGGGCGGAGGGCGCAGGAGCCAGCCTGGCCGGAGTTCGCAGTTCCTGGCGCGCGAAGTTGTGCAACAGCCTGGAGCGTGCACCGCGGGCGCCTGAAAATAAGCCAGAGCCCATACAAAGCCACGCTGGGCTCCGGCGAGGGGGTCGACTGCGAAGACAGGCGCTTTCTTCGGCGAACAAGCCACCGGGAAGGCGGCCCGCGATAACACTGCGGCCGGGACGGCGGCGCGGCACACTGAAGCCAGCCCGCGCGCCCGGTCCCTCCCGGCGTCCGCCCTCTCGAGCCCCAGTACTGGTCCGCGGACCCAGAACCTGCAGACCCTCCGCCCTCCCTGCAGCTCGCCCTCCGTCGGCCTCCCAGCACACCGAGGTCCGCAGGGCAGCGCGTCCCGAGGCCGCCCGTGGGTCCTGGTCCGGTCCGGTCCGCCGAGTCTCGACCAGTCGCGTTCGGAGACCATGCCATTCTCGGGCAGGAAGGTTTCCCCGGCAGAGCTGGTGGATGGCCGATGGCTGGGAGTTAGCGTTCCTGATGAGAAGAAGAGCAGCACTTGTGAGCGACCTCAGGGCGGATGAGTGGATCGCCACCACGTGCAGCGCAGAAACAGACCTGGGCTGGTTTCGGGGGCGCAGGAGCGGAGAGATTGGGCACGAGGCTGAACCGGTGAGGAGGGCCCCTGGACCAGACGGGAGAGGCGGACGGCAGGGGCAGGAGAGAAGCTGACGGGGTTTCTGCAGGTCCTCTAGCACGGGACTCGGGAATTGGCTTGTTCAGGGTCTGCGTTCTCAAGTGGGCTCAACTTTTTACAGAGCCCCGTCCTCTGGAATCTGACAGACAGACCTTGTGCCTGCAAACTGTTCAAACTCAACATCACGCCTTCAGGGGACCCCCGCCTTAGGACGAGACTGGAGTCGTCAGCCGTCCGCCTGGGCGGGGGCGCGTGCAGGCAGAGTGGGCTTTCTGCACCTTTAAACCGCTGGGGTGGCTCAGGAGCACTCTAGCGCCGTGGGCACAAGTCGGGCGACGCGATCGGACATGGTGAGCACTCAGGCTTCTTCCACGCACGGGCGACCGCAAGTGGGCAGGAGGATATAACCAGGAAGGGCGGCCGATGGTCCTGGGGCACCGGCGCTTGGGGGCGACTGGCGGAACCTGGGGTGAAGAACTCGCGACTGCGGAGCTGCGGAGAGGGGAAGGGGACGGAGGCACCCACAAGCCTTCTGCTTTTGAAAGGACGAAGCGCTTTCACCTGTTCTCAGTGGCCTTTTAGATCAGTTTTCATGAGCGATAAGTCATGATGCCCGTCAATTGAGCAAGTACCACCCCCCACCCCCCCGACCCGCATTCTGCCGTTGCAAAAACCGAGGTCCGCTCCGTTTGGTTATACACACAGAAGCGCTGTCGAGGTAAGCGAGCTGGTCTGGAATCTGTACGTCCCGGGTCACAACAGTTGACTTCAGATCGCTGACATTTGAACAGGTGTGGAAGGGCACAAGGCGGTCCAGAGGCCAGTCAATGTCACCCGTCACCTTTGGATGCCTGCTAATGCAGCTTGGTTGGCCACTGGCACCCAGAACCTAAATTGATTCTGGTGAGGAGGTTCTGTACGGACCAGGCTCCCCACTCTGAGATTTGGACCAGTGGTTTTTTTTGGCTGAGCCCTGGCACTCAATTTTAAGAAACTGTCAAGAAAGGTATGTTTACTTTTGACAGCCTCACCCAGAGCTGCCCCCCGCCCCCCCATCTGATTGTTATTTCATCAAACTCTTTAGTCTTCCAAATGGAAAAAGAAAAAAAGCATTTAATCTGGGGAGTGCTGTCAGGAAATAAAGCATATATCCCATTGTTAAAAGATATTTTGAGGCAACTGTAGAGTTTTGAGACAAATAAGATCTTATTCAAATCAGATAATTTACTTAATAGAAAATAGACCAATTGCTGTCACTTAGACTTCTAACCTTAGGAAGAGGCAGTCGCAAGTATCCTAAATTATACAAGACACTCTCTGACTTGAATATATCTCGGTTGCTGCAGCCCCCACCCCACCCTGCCCCCGAGCCGCCGTCCACGTGTCCTCTGCCAGGCCTGTCTCCGAGGGTGCCAAAGAGAGGACAAGGACAGGGAGGCCGGGCGCTTCTGGTGCCTGCGGGGTGGGAGTGGAGAGCAGGGACAGTCCCCCACCCTACTCTCTCTCTCAGCACGCTAAGCGAGCAGCGCCGACCTCTGGGGCACCAGGCCGCACGTTAAAGGTGTCCGAGCCTCGCTCCAGCTCCGGGGCTGTGCCCGCCTCTCCTTCCCGCTGTTCAACATCCTCAGGGCTGTTAATTTCTCTCCGGGAAATACTAGGCCAGGAGTTATGTTTTAGTTTTGGTATGCGTTGGGGGCGAGGGACGCAGAAGCCCATCCACCCGACCGATGGGGGTTAAAGGAAGTGCGGTGAGCTGGCGGTGCCCCAGTGCAGTTGCCGAGACCCTCAGGGACTAGCTTGTTAACCCGGTCTTCATAACCTCGGGCAAGCAGCCAGTGTGGGAGCGACACGGGTTTTCCAGATGAGGGCACTAAGGGCCCCAGAGGAAAGTTAAGCCGGTGACTTACCCAGGATGCCAAGGCTAACTTCTTCACAAGCCTTAGTACCATCTGAAATCACCCTGTTCAGTTTTAGTTTTAGTTTGTTTGTGATAATCCATTCCTCTCCGTCCCTCTCTGCCGAACGTAAAGTCCTTGAGAGCTCCTAGGTCTTGTTGGAGGGATATCCCAGCACCTTGCCAGGCCAAGAGTAGACTTTCAATAACTATTTGTTGTAGGAATAGGCGATCGGATGTGGGAGGCTGCTGGCTCGGGGTAGCTCAGGAAACCCTTCGTGACTTCTAGTTATGATGCTTCACAGTCTGATCTGTTTGGCAATGAGAAGGCACATAGCAGTTGTAGCAAGTAAAAATTCCACACTCAAGAATTAGTTTCAAACTTGACCCCTCAATATTCCTTCCTCTGCAGCCATCTACAAGTGTTTTCTGTTCCACAGACTGTGCAATCTTTAAGGCTTAAAGTAGGCAAAATGATCGTGTGAGCCTTGGGAGGGGTGCATGGTGGAGGGGGAAGGAGATGTTTTTAATAAAGTCTGTTTTCAAGTAGCCAGAGTTTTCTGATTCAGGTTTCCCACCATAAATAATTTATTAGTGTGGTAATAGTAAAAATAGCTTGTAAAAACAGCGCAGAAGATCCTAAACAAATGATAAACACAGTGATCATGCTAACAGATGAGACAATGTTGAGTCTGGCCTTTGCTGGACAGAACTGATATCTGCAAGGGAGCGTAATTGAGGGATGTGATTATTAAAGATGCCTGCTAGTTACATGTCCCTAAGCTACATCACTATAGAAACCGAAGAAGGCAGAAGATTTGAATTCTAATTCTGCTAGGGCAACACACTGCTGTCTGATGTGGATGAATGACTTAAATTCTGGAGGTTCAGTTTTTTGAACAATCAAGAAAAAAATAGAGCCTCTAATGCCTCCCTCTCTGGATTGAAATCATTGTAAATGGGATTATTCGTACTAGTTCTTCCATCCTCTTTGGTGACGTTACACATCCACGGGGCCCATGGCCTCTTAGTGATGTGTACTTCTCTGATTCTTTTTTTAAAATTTTTTTTTTTTTAACGTTTATTATTTTTGGGACAGAGAGAGACAGAGCATGAACGGGGGAGGGGCAGAGAGAGAGGGAGACACAGAATCGGAAACAGGCTCCAGGCTCCAAGCCATCAGCCCAGAGCCTGACGCGGGGCTCGAACTCACGGAGCGCGAGATCGTGACCTGGCTGAAGTCGGACGCTTAACCGACTGTGCCACCCAGGCGCCCCTCTGATTCTTGATGTTGGGCTTGGCTAGGTGACTTGCTTTGGTCGGTGAGATGCCGGCGGATATGACATGAGGAGATATGGGGTGCGTGCTTGTCTGGTTGATTGTGTGTTCTTGTGTTTCCGTGGCAAGGGTATACCCTGGGTGGCCACGGCTAGAGCCTTGGTCCCAGCATGGCACACAGGGAGCAGACACCTCAGTTACCCTACAGATACATCAGCAAGAAATAAACGTTTATTCTTGAATGCCACTGACATTATTGTGGTCTTTGTTACACAGCCAGTAGTGACAAAGGATTGAGTGGCTGAAAGTTTGTCAAAGTTTTTTTCACTTCTAAAATTCAAGCATATGTAGGAAATCACTTTTTTTTTTTTTTTGCTAAGAATTAATCTCAGAGAGCCTCAGTGTTTGTTTCTTGTACTTCAGCTCTATCTTCCTTCTAAAAAAAAAAAAAAGAAAGAAAAAATAAAGAAAAGAAAAGAAAAAAAGTTGTGGTTATCCTATCTAACCCAGCCTTCTTCTGAAGTGTCAGTGACTGCTTTAGATTTCCCACACCATTAAACATCTAACTCAACACTTCTTCAAACATATTGTTTCTGCTAGGAAGCCTTTCAATGCTGAGCCCCTCAGGATAAAGAAAGTGCTAGACTATCTTTAGAACAGTTAGCTTCATATCAGATACTGGCTGGACTTTGCAAAGTCTTGCGATTGGAGGCCATATCGTGACTGAGCATTTGAGAACCACAAAGATAAGGTATCAGCTAAGGTGTCTTAGCTTCTGACTGAAGATGCAGAGGCAGACAGATGCTCCGAGAATTTCACAAGGCACAGGCCGGGGAGGACCCGCATGGCCTGGTTTGAGCAGGGCACACAATGCGAGTACGTTTGCATGGACACTGGGCCACTGCCTCTCCTGACCAGCTTCCTACCACAGATTGCCCATGTGACATGCTGGGTATTTGATTTTTTAAAAAAATATTTATTTTTGAGAGAGAGAAGGCGTGTGAGAGTGGGGGAGAGGCAGAGAGAGAAGGGAACAGAGGATCTGAAGCAGGATCTGCACTGACAGCAGTGAGCCTGACACGGGGCTCGAACTCACAAACCGTGAGATCATGACCTGAGTGGAAGTCGAATGCTTAGCCAACTGAGCCACCCAGGCACCCCTGGGTATTTGATTTTTTTAAAAAAATGTGTGCTTCTCCTCTATGGGGCTGTGAACTCCTTGTTGGTAGGGCCGTGTCTTCGTGTTTTAGTCACCACAGTGCTTGTCATGGTGTTTGGTACGTGACTCTCGCAATCAGTAAATGACTCAATAAGTGTTGAACTACTCAGGATGCTGTTATTCCCCTGTCTTCTCCTGTTGACCCCTAATTCCTCCGAAGGACACAGCAGGGTAGAGAGGAGGGAGGGTGGGCAGCCCCGAATCCTAGCCCGCATAGCTGAATCCTCCACGAGTCGGGCCTTACCAGCTAGTGAGGCAAACAGGAAAGGAGGTCAAAAGGTGACATCTTAGAAAAAAACGTTTTAAGTGTTTAAACACTTGTTCCCCCATGGCAGAGGCTAGCCATGCTGAAGACACTGTGTCAAGCACTTTGCAAACGTGATCCT